CTGTCTCGCAGCCCAGAAACTCCTTCAGACAGGAACATGTACCTGCATCTGTAATCCCCAGAGAGAAACCAGTGACCCGAAGTGCTCTGGGTCACACAGAGAAGCGGAGACCTGAAGCCCACAGCTCCAGGGCCAAGCGAGGTTGCAAGGAGTGGTGGGTGAGGCCACTGGCCCTCAGGCATGCCTGGCAGGGTCAGCCCCAACCACGGTGCCTGTGGCCCCCTTGCCTGGCACTGCTATCCCCAGTACCTCCTCTGAAAGGCTCTGCATGAAAAGAGGGGCACAGGCCACCGAGACCCCTCCTTTTGTCCCTCGGGAGCCCGTCTGGAGGGCCTACAGCTCCAAACAAAGGATGGGGCCAGGAACAGGAGCCCAACCCGAGGAGGGGTAACAGCACGACCTGGCTTCCTTGGGGACAATCCTCCCACCACCAAATTCTAAGTCAAATTCTATAGCTTGGGGCCCAGGCATTAGAGCTTAAAAACTGCTGGTTACAGTGAATAAGGTACAGAAATTCTATGGGCCAAAAATGAGGGAAAAAAAAAAAAAACAGGTTGAAAAGCAGCCAAGCCTCCAGCCCAGTGTAGCACAGAGCGCACCCCACAGCTCCCTGACCAGACCCAGAGGGCCGGAGAAGCCAGCCCTCCAGGGGTGGCCACGCCTACCCCACCTGAGGGCCTAAGACCAGTTTCTGTCTCCCTCCCCACAAAACAGGCCTGGAGTAAGCAGTTCCTCCAAAACCACCTACAGCTGGGGAGGGGCCAATGCTCGGGCCAAGGTGCCTGCTCTGAGCTGTCCATGCCTCTGTTGGACGTGGGAAGTCCATGCTCCAGGGCAGCTGCAGGCACTGGGGCAGGTGGCTCGGCCATAATGCAGGGGCTTGGCTTGTGCTCAGACAGCTCCATTTCTAATTCCTCCTGGCCTCCTGCACATGAGGAAGCGCAGCCCCCAGGCACGTTTCAATTCAGGCCAACACGGAGGCAGCCCGGTGTGTTGACACACAGAACACCAGGGTCTCCACAGGGCATCTTCAGACAGGAGCATCCCTCCTCAGAAAGCACCCACCCCACCCCAAGCTGCTCCAGAGGCAACAGGAAAAGGGGCCTGGCCGAAGGCACCCAGGAAGCTCAGACACTGAGAGGGAAGCACCGACAGCCCTCAGGGCTGGGAACAAGGAAGGCCCTGGGCGTGCCCCCCAGAACCCCCAACCAATCCCCCACACAGGTGGAAAAAGCCCTGGAATCCCTCCTAAACACCTGCACTCAGGGGAACCAGACCCCACTGTCCACAGTCCACATAACTTCACTCATTCCTGGACACTAGACCCCACAGTCCACAGAGCCCCACATAACCCCACTCACTTCTGGACACCAGACCCCACCGTCCACAGAGTCCCACATAACCCCACTCACTCCTGGACACCAGATCCCGCAGTCCACAGAGTCCCACATAACCCCACTCACTCCTGGACACCAGACTCCACCGTCCACAGAGTCCCACATGACCCCATTCACTACTTGATACCAGACCCCCACAGTCCACAGAATCCCACATAAACCCACTCACTCCTGGACATCAGACCCCATAGTCCACAGAGTCCCCCAACCACACTCACTCCTGGACACCAGATCCCACAGTCCACAGAGTCCCACATAACCCCACTCACTCCTGGACACCAGACCCCACAGTCCACAGAGTCCCACATAACCCCACCCACTCCTGGACACCAAATCCCACAGTCCACAGAGTCCCACATAACCCCACTCACTCCTGGACACCAGACCCCATAGTCCACAGAGTCCCACATAACCCACTCACTGAAAGCAGGAGCACCTTTCAGGCCTGCCCTGAGCTGTCTTGGATGAAGGCAGAGGAATGGAAACTGAGTTTGAGGCCTGCCCTTAAACAATACAGTTATGATGGGTTCCCCTGCAAATTACATCAGCAACAAAAGCTCACAGCAGAACACAGGAGAGAAAAGAAACAAAACAACCCCCCAGTATTTCTACAGCCTAAAGAGAAACATGGTTTGTACTCCAATTTCAAAACCCAGACCTAGGATAGGAAAATGTCTCATCTCCACCTCCCTCCCTCCCTCCCTCCACTGAGCTCTGCTGACAAATCCACCCTGGTGAAACCCCCTTCTCCAGTGACTGTGTCTGCCTTCCATCCAGCTGGCTCCACGTTCACACCATGAGCTTCAGCAGGACTGCTGGAGCCCTCACAGGGCCAGTCCTCTGCCTCATGCCCACTTCGGAAAGAGACAGGAAGCTCTGGCCACCTGCTGGCCCCGACCCCTTTTGATCCCCTCAGTTGCCCCAGCCCTACGTCCTGCTGTCCCTACAGCAAGGCTCTCATCAGCATAAACCGCTCTCCCACTCCGCACTGGGTAAAATGAGTCTCCCTCCCAGCTCCAGGCCAGGCCCCTGAGCAGGCCCTTCTGTGCCAGCCGCCAAGCCCAGGGCAATCCTGCACTCGCCTTCTGGGTCCTCTCTGTGGTCTGACTGTCCCCTGAAAACATTTCCTTCTCCAGGGCTTTGTGAATGGACCTGCCCTCCACGGAGTCCCCAGCTCATGGCTGCTGCCCAAGACTAGACGCCAGGATACTGGAATGCCCCAAAGAGGCTTGAACCTCCAATTCTGACTTCTCTGCTACCTACTCACTCCCGACAACAGAAATACCATGCAGAGTGGATGGGCACCTCTGTCCCCAGAGCACTGACTCAAGGCCTCCAGGCCTGCGCATCCAACATGTGGCAGGCATGAGACCCCCACGCTTCATCCATAGTCTCCTACTCATACCATGAGCTCACCCAGGGTGGAATGCCGAAGCTGTCCTCGATTCCCAGCCTCACACTCTCTACCTCACCTGCGGTCTACCTTCATTGCAGCCAGCTCAGACCAAACCTCCCCACACCACTGCAGGCCTAAGCCCAGGGCCCCTGCGCCTCCCACCCCAGCTAGCCCCAGACCTGCTAGTTAGCCTTTACAAAGGAACACCAAGCTGTGTCACGACCTCCCCTACCCATGAAACCACAACCCTGCTGTGACCACACAGGGCCCACAGGTTGGATTACCAACCGCCGCAGGCCCCGCTTCTGTCACCCCTAACCTCACTGTTGGGTCCCAGGACCTGGGATCTGCCGAGCTGCCTGCCCCACCATTTCCACCACCAACAGTAGGGTCCCCTGGGCTCGGCTCAGGACACTCTGCAGAGCGGCCCTGGGTGACTGTGGCTGCTGCACTCGCCACCACCTAAAGTTCTGTCCTTCACTCTCCTGTGGGCCACTAGCTACCCCACTGGATAACAGTATGCCTCCAGGGAGGCAGGTGCCTATGTCACTGGCTGCGGCATCCCCAGCACCAAGAGGAATGTCCTTAAGCAGCTGCTGAGTGAACAGCGACTGTTCTGGAACCTCACAACAGCTGTCGCCAGCCCACCGGACCTTGGTCCTGCAGATGCTGGCTCTGCGCAGACCCGCATGGTGCCCTGCTGCTACCTCTCTGCATGGCTGGGCAACTTCTTCCAGGGTCTCAGCAGACAACCCTCACTATCTCCAGCCTAGGCCCGGGTGCCTGCACCTCCCAAGAGGGTGATTTCCAACTCTATCCAACCCTGTCCCATGGGAAGGGCCTGAAACCATGGCCACAGCCACGGCCACCAAAGGCTGTGCAGCTGGCACATGAGTCTGTCAAGTGATGAACCCTCAGCACACCCCTGCTGGGTTGAGGGGAAGGCCCTGAGGCCGAGAGCCAGGACACCAGCTGAGTCATAAGCTGGCAAGCAAGGACACCCAGACGGGAGCCTCCACCTGGGCTGCATGCCCTGGGGTCCATACAACGCTGACTGCTGCTCTGCCTGTGACCTAGGCCAGTCTGACTCGTGGCCCAGGGCAGAACACACAGTCACATGCACACACGCCCCAGGGCCTTCCTTGTCCTTCACAGACATGGCCATGGTCAGGGCAGCATGGAGGGGACCTACAGTTTGTTTAGGCCAAAATGCTTCAAAAGCAAAGTCCGTTTGTTGCCTAAAGCAGTAGAAAGCTTTTTTTTGAGACACAATTTTACTCTTTTTGCCCAGGCTGGAGTGTGGTGGCGTGATCTCAGCTCACTGCAACCTCCACCTCCCAGGTTCAAGCAATTGTCCTGTCTCAGCCTCCCAAGTATCTGGGATTACAGGTGCCCACCATCACCCCTGGCTAATTTTTGTATTTTTTAGTAGAGATGGGGTTTGACCATGTTGGCCGGGCTGGTCTCGAACTCCTAACCTGAGGTGATCCACCCGCCTCGGCCTCCCAAAGTGCTGGGATTACAGGCGTAAGCCACCACACCTGCGCAAGTGGGAAGCTTTTTAACACTAGAGGTCCAGAAACCAGAAGAGCCCACCTGGTGCCCAATGGGCCACACTGCGGGACCCTCCCCCAGGCTCAGAGGCAGCCAAACCAGTGGGAGTGGGGCTGATGTGGGCTGAGGAGAAAACAGCTGGAAAGCACACCTGCCTCATTCACAGACGGCAGATAAGCACTCACCAGAGACATCCCTCGCTTGGTCAGGCATGCTGAGGGACGCCCAAGCCCCAGCTGAGCCACTGTCCCACTGGGAACTCAGGCCCTGTGTGGTCAGGGCAGGGGTCCACAAAGCCACAGCACCGATACCCAGTTCAACAGCCCCCAGACCCCTCACAGGCTCTCACATCTGCTTTGCCTCCGACACCGTGGCCTTATGTGGCCTGGGCAAAAACACGTCACTGACCCCTTTCCAAAAACATGGCGGTGGGGCCGGAGAGGCTGTGTTCTTCCCAGGCACGTGCCACCTGTCACTGGTAGAGACAGGACTCAGGCTCTTCACATGCCCTTCCATGCTCAACACGGCTTCAACAACAGAGGAGGCAGCCATGCACTGGCACCTGCAGCTGAGGGCTCACGGGGACAGGAGTCCCTGCCCAGACCCAGGGTCCAGGTGCCCTGAATCCCAAGCCACTCCTGCAACAGACTCACCATGTCTGCTCTTTGTTTCTGGCCTCCCAGCTCCTCCAGGGCCTGTGACAGCTGAGCCTGCAAGACAAGAGAGGATTTGGCCTCAGACTGGGGTGGACCAAGCGCCATTTCTAGTACTACGGAGAACATAACCCCCACCACCCCGCAGCCTCCACTCCCTGTGGAGCAACAGGGCCCAGGAGCTGGGCAGTGGGCAGCTGGAAGGTTGGCAGGGGCCAGCACAGCCACCCCATGAGGCCCAGAGCCCAGTGATAGAAACAGAGACCAAGTAGGCAGCAGGTGGCTGGAGAGTTGGCAGGGGCCAGTGTGGCTGCCCCTTGGGGCTCAGAGCCCATTGATGGTGACAAAGACTGAGTGGGCAGCAGGTGGCTTGATAGAACCAAGGTCCATTCCAAAAATCTGCCTCAGGAAACTGTGAATGGAGTGGACAAAGGGGCGGGCCCGAGAGAGACTGTGAAATCAGGGGAGAGACGGAGGGGAAAGGTTCAGGATGGGACTTTCCATCAGAGGAAATCAATTAACCGTAACCCCTACCCAGGCAGGGAAGGTCTCCTGCCCCCACACATGCCCCAAAGAGCGCTGGGCCTAACCCCACACTAAGGATAGAAAAGCCAGCAATGAGAAGCTAGCCTCCTCCTCCTAACAGGCCTGATGGGGCAGCAAGGCTGGGCCTGGCTGTGGGGCCAGGACATCAGCAGTCCAGCTCCCTGCTGAGGACAGTGACCCTGCACCACACAGGGGAACCTCAGAGACCCTCTGCCCTGGGCCTCTGCCCCTGCGGCTCCTGCCTTCCCCCACATCCCCTGCCCCTGCCCCTTCCTGCCACAACCCTGCTTCGCTCCCCACTGCTACTACCACCTAAACACACCGTGTCTGTGACCTGGAACCAGGGAGGAAGGGTCAGGCACTGGGGGCCTTGTGAGACCTCCCCTCTCCATGGCACAGCACAGAGGAAAGCCGGGAAGGAGACTGAGGGACCAGCCCAGGAGTGAGGCAGGTGACTGTGGTGGGGGTGTGCAATCTGTAGGGTAGAGCTCCAGCATGCCTGGGGTTGAAGGAGCAATTGGGAGGCCTGGCCCAGCAGCAACTGGAAATCACCAGGCAAGTCACCAGGAGAGATGGGAGAGAGAAATGTGAGGGAGGGAGGCATGTATATGTGCATGCACACGAGTGTGGGTATGGGAACACTGGTGTGTGGCATGTGCACATGTGGTAGGGATGGGGAAATATATTTGGAGACACAGAGAACAAGGCACTACAGCCCCTGGGGACACAGCCTGGGGAAAGTGGCCCAGGTAGCAGCCCACAGTCCTCAGGCACTCTGCTCTGGAGATCATGGGTCCTCAAGCTCCCCTACAGGCCCAGCACAGCGAGGCTCTGGACTTCCCATGGGCCATGCTGGGTGCCTGCTGGTTCTGGATGCCACAGCAGAGTCAGACCCAGGCTCCAGGTACCCCTGGGGAGGCTGCAGGTGTGAGCACCTGAGCCCCCTGAGCCTCTACTGTGGGGCCTCAGTGAGAGCATCCGCGTGACCCCCATTGCCCAATGCCCTGTGCAACACCTGTGGGTGCAGAGCAGGCCTTGAGCTCTGCCCACTACCAGCCCCTCCTGGTGCCCTCTCCCTTCCCCAGGGGAGGTGCTGAAGCCTGCCCAGTCACTGTCATCAGGAGGCAGGTGGCCATGGCCACTCTGGGCTGTGTGGACTGCTCCATGGAAAGCTTGGTGCCTCAGGGTTAGGGAGCAGCACATCACCCTCCACAGAGCCAGCAGAACCCTGGATAATCTGCCCACTGCTGGGGTCACAAGCACCTGGGAACAGCAGATGGAGAGGGACATCCCCCAATCTCGGCCTAGATGCAACGTGCTTCACTGAGCTACACCCCTGCGCGTGGCATCCCTGGGCACTCCCAGGGAGCACAGAGAGCCAGGTTGGGGCATCCCGAACACCCCATGTGCTTAGGCAGAGCCTCAGCACTTGGGAAGCAGCTATAGTCCACACTCATGCTCGCTTCACGCAGCCCTGCACCCAGCACCCTATCTAGATCTACCCGCACCCACAGGCTGCCAGGCTACAGAGACTACCCCAAACATGGGGGAAGACAACAAGGCTCTGAGCTGGCATGAGCGGTGAGAGGCGGCTGTTAGAGCTGCCCATACCCCCTGTAGCCTGGGCATGTCCGCCACGCTTGGCGCCAGCCCTGGGCACACAGGCAGCTGGCACATGGATACCAGCCTCAGGTCACAGCTGCAGATGAGGTACATCGTCATCCCCATTTACATCAATTCACGTGGCAACCTCGAAAGGTCAAAGGTACTTTACAACATAACTTGGAAGAGGCCGGGGCCATTCATAAGCAGCAGGGCAGGGAGCTGTGTGCAAGGCCCAGGCCAACCCGCTCTCCTGCACCTCCCAACACAATCACTGCAGGGTGGAGCCGTGACCACAGTGGCCAGCCAAGGGTCCTGCCAAGGCCAGGCAGGCCACAGCAACCTTAGCCTTCACAGCCTCCTGTACCACGCGGGTAGGCCGCAGGAGTTTTCAGAAGGTTTTATGAGGCTTCTATGAGGACAGCACTAAGCAATGTGCACCTGAAGACAAGTGCATTTACAATAGGCTTATCAGCCTGAGGCCAAGGTGTCCGCCTCCACACCAGCCCCATTCAGCCTCGTAGTTCCGTCAACAGTTGGAAAAAACAGAAGGCATGTTTCCTCAAATCCTCTGTGCCCTGAAAACACAGAGACCAGTGAGATTTTTGAGACATCCCCAAAGCCAGAGTTGCTGGCAGAAAGGTGACTGAGCCGTGGAGCCCTGCACTCGGACTCGCGCCCTGGTCTGCGGTACCTGGACAGAGTGCCCAGAGCAACTCCCATGAGAGCACAACTGCACGTCAACAGGAGCGGCTGTGACTGGGCTCCCACACCCGCCTGGCGCTGAACAGGGCCCTGGATTCAGGAATGCAGATGTTTCCCAAACAAGCTGTTTCCCAGGAGGCAACCAGGACAGCAGAGGGCATTGTAGGAGTCGTTCAGCCATGAAGAGAGACGGCTTCTAGACAGTGAGAGCCGCCTTTAACCAAAGACTGAACACACAGGTGTCACTCAGGCTGTGATGAGATGGCCACGGATCCTGTGTGACCCATAAGGTTCTACATCTTCACCTGCATTAAGGGGTTACACACATATACTCACCCTGTCGTCCAACAGGCTGTATACTTACAATCTGTACACCTTGGTGTATTATGTTACATTTCCATTAAAACATATACTCTAGCACCGTGGGGTACAAACTACAGAGGAAGAGAGGGATGGCTCTGTTACCATAAAGATAAATTGTTTCAGCCAAGCACAGTATTCATTAGGGAGGCCAAGGCACAAGAACTGCTTGAGCTCAGGAGTTCGAGACCAGTCTGAACAACATACAGAGATCCTGTCTCTACAAAAATTTAAAAATCAGCTGGGTGTGGGAGCACACAACTGTGGTCCCAGCTACTCAGGGAGCTGAGGCAGGAGGGTCTCTTGAGACAAACAGGTTGAGGCTGCAGTAAGCCAGGACTGTGCCACTGCACAATCATGGGCAACAGAGTGAGACCCTGTGTCAAAAACACAAAAACGAAGATGTGAAACACACAAAACAAGGTTGTTTGTAACCAGCCACATCTTCCCAACAAGGACAGCCAAATGGGACATTGCACAACCCTGAATAAGAGGTGACTCCAGGTGGGGCCTTCTCAGCAAAGCAGCCACCAGACAGAAGCTCAGCAGGCGGAGGGGCCAGAAATCTGAGAGTGTGACACGGGGCGCATGTTCTATACACACAGAGATGGGGATTTAGCAGGGAGGCAGGAGGGAGCTCAGGTCTGGTTTATAGACACCACACAGCACAAGGTTTGTGGGTGCAGGACACTTCAGTCACCACTCACTCATAACCTGAAAAGACACATGTGGCACTCCTAAGAACAGGATAACATGGAGAGGACACAGGCAGAGAAGGCCTGTTGGCATGCAAGGAAATGCACTGCTGTCTGTGGCTCAAAGAGGATATGTGTTCAGACATGAGGTTTCCAAGTAACCAAAAAAAAAAAATGTTTTACAAGAGAGTGGGTGCCGACAGAATAGGAGCTAGTGGGGAGAACAGCAGTGGCTGCAGTCTGGGGTGTCAGCCACAATGCATGCCAGTCCTGGGCCTCCTTGATGTGACAGGTTCTGCAGAGGGAGACTGTGAGAAGTTCACAGCAGAGCCCCAGCACTGAGTAGCATTTGATAAACATCCACTCCTCCCTCACTTTATCATTCAAAGAAAACAACCGGAGAAAGAAAAACAAAGGAAACACTGAAACCTACACAATCCACTACAGGAGACACAGGACATCACTAAACCCACACAGCCCATTACAGCAAAGACAGGACATCATGAAACCCGCACAGCCCATTACAGCAGAGACAGGACATCATGAAACCCACAGAGCCCACTACAGGAGAGACAGGACATCACTAAACACACACAGCCCACTACAGGAGAGACAGGACATCATGAAATCCACACAGCCCACTACAGGAGAGACAGGGCATCATGAAATCCACACAGCCCACTACAGGAGAGACAGGGCGTCACTAAACACACATAGCCCACTATAGGAGAGACAGGACATCACTAAACCTGCACAGCCCACTACAGGAGAGACAGGGCATCACTAAACCCACACAGCCCACTACAGGAGAGACAGGACATCACTAAACACACCCAGCCCACTACAGGAGAGACAGGACATCACTAAACCTGCACAGCCCATTACAGGAGAGACAGGGCATCACTAAACCCGCACAGCCCACTACGGGAGAGACAGGGCATCACTAAACACACACACAGCCCACTACAGGAGAGACAGGACATCATGAAATCCACAGAGCCCACTACAGGAGAGACAGGGCATCACTAAACACACACAGCCCACTACAGGAGAGACAGGACATCACTAAACACACACAGCCCACTACAGGAGAGACAGGACATCACTAAACACACACAGACCACTACAGGAGAGACAGGACATCATGAA